AAGAGCATCTCCTCTTTTCTTTGGCTTGGGTAGGCCCTTCTGCCCAGCTGCTCCACCCTTCACCTTGGCTGCTGTGAGAGCTCCATCTCCGGTCTCCATGGTTTAACCAGTGACGGTATACCAAGCCTCTTCTATAAAATAAATAAACTCATGCCCTCACATTGATCGACTTTGACCTTTGGGACAGCTCCCTTACTAGTACAGCACCATGTACCCTTATGGTGCTAACAAATAGTAATTATTCACAGGGCCAAATGGAAAACAAACCAGAAAATCTGGGCATCATCATGAGCTCAATAACCATCGCCAGATGTGTGCATCTAAAATATAATACCATGGAGTATTGTAAGCATGTGACTTACTAGCTGGTGTACACTCTGGTTGCTGGGTGTGGTTTAACAGGCTCTCCTATAGCACTTCCTACTGACAGCCCAGGCCCAGCGGCAGTCTGCTTCTTCTTGCAACTCAGCCCTTTGGCCAGGACACATACTGTCCCACCCCTTCAAGGGTAAACCAATAGTCCAACAACTACCAGCCCTTCAACTTAGTCCAAGTCCAGACTTACTAGTCCATATCCCAGCTATCAGGGGGTTTCAGTAGTCCTTACCCCTTGTCAGGAAGAGTTTCCACTCCACCTTCCTTGATGGGTGGTAGGGAAATCCTGGTCCTCCCTCTCCACTGGGTTCCAGTCCAGGGATCCTTTAATAAGCAGTCAAGTGATGGCTGTGCCAACCCTTTACTGCCTTCCTGGGACACTTCCTACCTTACCCTGTCTTGAGCCTTTCCTACAACCTCTTCCTGGGCTCAGAGGGTTTCAGCTCCTCCCTCTCCAAGCCTCTGCCCCAGGCTCACTGCAGCGCTTTTTAGCACTTTCTGCCACCCAGGAGGTTCTGTTACAGGAGTCTGGTTGCTCCTTGCAAGCCTACCTTCCTTCAGGAAGACTCTGTCCCCTCAGCAGTTCTACTCTGCTCCCCGGCTCCAGCCAGAGTTCTCTCATTGAGTGAGAGCCAGTGAGCTGCTCTCCTTCCTGGTCAGCTCCCAGCTGGCCCAGGTTTAGCCCTTTTAACTCTTCCTTCCAGGCTTGACCCCTTTAGTAGGTGTAGCAGGGCAAGGCCTATAGGCTCTTATTAACCCATTCTAGCCCAGAGTGGGGTTGGTACACCCCATCACAAGTCTAAAAGAGAGCGCTGTGGAATATCTTAAATAATTGGTCTAGGGTAGCATAAGTCTCCTGTTTACTTTGTTGTTTAACATTTGTTTAAAGTACTTAAATATAAGCACTATGATCAAGTGTTCATGCATACAAATGAGCACCTACGTCTGTTGGCCCGTATCTGTGCATGCATATCTGGTATTTGCGTGTGTGATAGGCACACTTCTGCATTAAATTAAGTGTGCCAGACTTGGAAAATCTGGCCCATAATCCATAACAGGCATTGCTAAGAACTGCTGGGTCCAGTGCATAATTACATGAAAAACAAAACAAAAACTAAACCAAACCAACCAAGTTCAACCCCTTGCCAAGCAAGCAGATTGGCTGTCTAGGGACAACTTGCTAGCTTTCCATGGTATTTCTTCAGTCTGACATACTGTCCTACATATTCTCTTTTTCTTATTTCCTATGGCTTGTTCCTGTTTTCGTTGTTTCTTGCAATGTAAAGCAGTGAACAGATGTAAATTGTTATTTTATGACATGGTGAGTATGGGCTAGCATTGTACTTAACTTTTGTATTTATTTTACTTCCTTTGTTACAGTCAGTGGCTTTTTCTCCCCTTCCTATAATGAAAAACATTTAATTAAAAACCCAGTAATGTATGTAGTGAGTTAAAAGGATACCCTGATCTGCAATATCAAAAGCTGAAAACCAGGTTGGAAGAGGAGTTATTTAGCATGAGAAAAGGGGTGTAATTGCAACTAATGAGATGAAATTAAGAAAAGGGTCATTTAGACTACATGGGCCTGCTCCTGCTCTCATTGAAGTTGGTGATGAAGCTTCCAGGGTGAAATCCTATCTCCATTGCAATCAAAGGGAGTTTTGCTGTTTGACTTCACTGTTATGGGCTCAATCCCATCTTCATGGAGAAACCTGTTGGAAATGGAGCAGCATCCTGATTATCACTACAAACGTTTTGTTTTTTCTCCTGCTGATAATAGCCCACCTTAGTTGTTTACTCTCATAGAATCATAGAATATCAGGGTTGGAAGGGACCTCAGGAGGTCATCTAGTCCAACCCCCTGCTCAAAGCAGGACCAATTCCCAACTCAATCATCCCAGCCAGGGCTTTGTCAAGCCGGGCCTTAAAAACCTCCAAGGAAGGAGACTCCACCACCTCCCTAGGTAACGCATTCCAGTGCTTCACCACCCTCCTAGTGAAATAGTGTTTCCTAATATCCAACCTAGACCTCCCCCACTGCAACTCTCATTATAGTTAGTATGGCAACACCCATTTTTTCATGTCCTCTGTGTGTATATATATCTTCCTACTGTATTTTCCACTGCATACATCTGATGAAGTGGGTTTTAGCCCGTGAAAGCTTATGCTCAAATTTGGAGGGTCCCAGAGCCTTGGCTCCAGCCTAAGCCTGATCCTGTGCACCACAGTTTTGCAGCCCTGCATCCTGAGCCCTGCAAGCCAGAGTCAGCTGACACCGGCCAGCCGTGTGTTTAATTGCAATGTAGACATATCCTGTGGTTCCAGCAGGGCAGGAAGTGTGGAGATGTCTTGATGTCCTTCACTCACACTGCTCTGTCGTTTCTCTAACATGTCAAGAACCAGTTAAATTTAATATAAAAGTTGGCCATGCTTTTTAGGGTCTGGTTCAGTTTGGTGTCATTTTATCTATACCTGCCCAGCTATCCCTGCCCAAGACCTACAGTCAGGCAAAATCCAAATGCTGCTACTTAGCCAGGGAAGAACACACCTTTCAGCATCTTTCCACCACAGCCCACACCATATGTGGAAGGCTTCTCTCCACATCACTAAGCTTGATGATATGGTAGTTTAAATCAGTTCTCTGCCACTCTGACTCAGTGCATTATTGACTTCAGGCTCAATTAGGGCGGGTACCAGAGCATCTAGAATACACTGGAGAACACGGGAGAAAATCATTGGGTCAACCCAGCAAAGCTTGTGCCTTGTCCCAGATTTCCTAATGGTGCCTACGGTCTTTAATCTTGTTTCACAGTTTGTACAGTCCGTCAGGTGAAAAACATAATCAGTAATCTTAAACACATCACCCTGCAGGAAGAGAGTGCTACATCCCAGCTTACACGCTCCAAATAAGCACAGATCCTGCAGCAGAAACTGTAAAACCATGATGCCAGCAGCCCAAAATCTGAAGCTGCCTGGAGCACAAACAGGAATCAGTCATTTAACAGTGTGTGTTACAAAATAGTGGTGGTGTTTTTTTCCTGGGGAGGGATGTGGGAAGGACTGAAACCCACCAACAGCGCTATAATTAAATTAAAAGCACAGAAAACTCTTCTGTTACCAAATAAACTTTTTCCTATTAAAACTAAAGGGAAAACAAAAGTTACTAAAGATTATAGTAAGAAAACTAGTTTCTTATATTCTTACATTATAATACCTATTTAGAGAGTCTGTGCATTGACTTCAATAGGTAGTACAGGCCAGATCCAAACCCCTTCTTCTGTGAACTTGCAGCATATTACGTGGTAAGAAGCACTACGAATATTTACACAACATAATTTAGGTTGACCAGTTCTAGTAATAAGTGAAGGGCAAAGGTCAGGCAAGCATGCAAAAATGATGTACCACAAAACCAACCTTAGTCTACAGTATATAAGTGATAGAATAGACATTTTTCTGCAGTCTTACCTGCATTGCACAGATGGGGAAACTGAGGCACAGTGAGGTCAAATTTCTTGCTGAGGGTGACACTGACTGTAGCAGAGTTGAGAACAGAACACCCTTCTCCTGACTATCTGCTGGTCTAACTATTAAACAATACTGCTTAATAGAGATTGCTTTAAAATGTGAGGCTTGCTGCAGTAGTTCTATCTTCAGTCTGCTCTATTATTAATATTCATTCACATGGATAAGTGTTCAGATTTTTTTTTTAAAGTACATATCAGGTATAGTATTCAACCCCTTGGGGGTATGTACTCTCGTTGGGTACTTGGGTGCATATAGCCACAAATCTTGAAGAATGTGCTAGCCTTGTATTTGAAGATAAATGAACTCTTCCTGGAGTTCACAGTGGGGGCTAAAATCTGTTATTTGTTATAACCAATGCAACTCCTTTGAACCCCATTGGGTCTGCCCCAGTGTAACTCTCAATACAGTTTGATTCTGTGCTTGTAAAACTTTTTAAAATTTTTCAACATAAATGTTTCAACATAACAGAGGAACATTTTTTTCTGATTGCTTTCTGCCTTTTTCTTAAATTTTCTATATTCTGTTTAAAAAACTGTTTCCAGTACAGAGTTACCAGCAGTGATGATGATGATGTAGCTACTACCAGTCTAATGACTGGCAATACCATGGTATGTTCTATATGCAAACTGGGATTTTGTGTTTTAGAGAAACTAGGTGACTTTCACTCTTTTTCTACACTTTTATAGTCCTTGCCATTATGAACTTGTAAATCTTAATTGTTGAAAGATTTGATCCGGTGTGTGTGTTTTTAGGAAGGAGAGGAAGGGGTCCCATAAGCTGTATGAGGACAGATAAGACATATTATGGTTTATGATGTTTAGATGCCCACCTGGAGAGAAGAGAGCTTAAGAACAAAATAAAAAGACGGAAATCCTACTCGACTCTGAAATAAGAGAAGAGCATGGTAGAAGAAGGATTTAAATGGGGAGAGCAGCTGTTACAGCACCCAGTTGTACATATTTTATCCTGAGACACCATTTGGTTTAATAAAATGTAGATCTAAGACTGTCCTTAACCTATCAGTTTCTTAAGACTTAATTATAAAGGCTGTACTTTCAAAGGACAAAAGCATTATTCATTTGTCTGTTCATGTCTTCCAGGTTTATCTTGCAGATTATGGACTTTCCTACAGATATTGTCCCAATGGGAACCACAAACAGTATAAGGAAAATCCTAAAAAGGGCCATAATGGAACAATAGAGTTTACCAGCTTAGATGCCCACAAGGGAGTAGGTAGGTTTCTTCTTTTATTTCAGAAGAGTGATTACAGAATATGTAATCAGGCTGTGTGAACTGGTGTACGTTACGGAGCAGTGGTGGGTCTTGGTGATGGTTGATCAGAAGAAGCTCTTATGTGGTGACCTGTCACACCAGGTAATGTTGCTTCAGGTGCCATGGAAAGGGGAATGTGTTAACACTTAAGGCTTGGCTACACTTGCACTTTATACCGCAATAAAGCCTCCTAGAGCGCGCTACCTTACTCCCCGTCCACACTACGTGCAAGGCACATAGAGCGCTCTGACTCCCCGGCTAGAGCGCTCCTGGTACTGCACCTCCACAAGAGGGATAACGGCTGTTGCACGTTGGCTGAGATACCCCAGGGCCAGTGTGAACGAGGAGTTACGTTACAGCGCTCTGATTGACCTCCAGAAACGTCCCATGATCCCCTTAAGTCAAGTAGCCTCTCTTCTCTTTGTTGTGAAATCGGCTGAGGAATGTGGAAGTGCTCTTTCAAAGCTCCGTTTCAAACAGTCGGCTGCTTATCTGCTCCCGGCTGCTTATCTGCAATGGTAAATGTTTGCTGTGAGTGAGTGAGAGGCGGGGGGAGGGGGGTCTGAACTTACAAGACAGTGTGCTGACACACTCTCAGCACTCCAAAACCCCATTCTCTCTCTCTCTCCCTCCACATACACACAACACACTCTACCTCATCCCCCTCATTTGAAAGCACATTGCAGCCACTTGAATGCTGGGTTAGCTGCCCGTAATGCACCGCTCCCAAAGCAGCTGCAAGTGCCGCAAATGTGGCTACGCCAGTGCGCTGTCAGCTGTCAGTGTGGACAGATTGCGGTGCTTTCCCTACTGCGCTCTACGAAGGCTGGTTTAACCCAAAGAGCTCTACAACTGCAAGTGTAGCCAAGCCCAGAGAATAATGGGTGGGGTGGGCTGGAAGATGGAGGAAGAAGCTACAAAAGAAACTTGCCTTTAAACTTGGTCGTTAGTTTATATTGATAATGCTATCGTACAGTGATTTGTTTTGTTAATGCTCTAGAACAACGGTTCTCAAACTGTGGGTCGGGACCCTAGAGTGGGTCTCAATCCCATTTGGGGCTGAAGCCATAGTCTGAGCCCCACTGACTGGGGCCGAAGCCCAAGGACTTCTGGTTACAGGTCCCCCACCTGGGGCTGAATCCCTTGGGCTTCAGCTTTGATGCCCCCCTCCCCCTGCCTGGTGTGGTGGGGCTTGGGCTTCGGCTTTGTAGTAGTAATTTTTGTTGTCAGAACTGGATCGCGGTGCAATGAAGTTTGAGAATCCCTACTCTGAACATAGAGATGGGGGGGATGTTTGGCAGTTTCACATTACCTAAGAAGAACTTCTGTGGCCTGATAAATGTGTCTTTATGCAGATCTACACCTGTTTTTCAGTCTGTGTGTCAGACCATTTCAAGACATCCTCCTACAGAGAGCGAATCCTTTTTTAAAGCTACAAAGTGTTAACTTTTTGAAATCTTTTCCAGTAGCCTTTCATATATCTTACTTATTTAAACTCAATTTGATGGTATTGGAAACACATTTGCAGGTAAATTACATACATAGTCCTTTTATTGGATATTGATTGTACTGCCTTGCATTCCAAGGCAGACTTAATTCAACAATTCCCTAATTAGTTAAAGTCATAACCTATGTCTTGTATTCATTTACCATTAATTAAACCTTAGCTGTTTATTACACTGCAGTCCAAATTCAATAGCAGACCCACAGAGCCATGGAAAAAGGGAGTGGGAGGTCAATATTGAAAATATATGTTGCAAAGTCCCACTGATGGCTGCATTGTTCACAATCAATATGGTCAATGCAACACAACTTTCTTAGTTGCTATGTCAGCAAGACAAAAAGTCAATTCTAATGTTATGCTAGTGAAAAATAGTGATTATTGAAAAACTTTGACTCTTGCTGCAAAACAATATTTTTGTTAAGTATTTCCACCCCCTCAAATTTTCTAAACCTGAAAGAATGGACTGGCTTTCTATTGCTAGCTATGCTAGGACCACAGTGTCACAAATGATAACTGTAGAAATTTGTGCTTGTTAATAGCTGCTGAACTGTTACCTTAAACTAATACTTTCTAATGAGTTTTAGTTGGCACAAACAACTGTATATTATTGCTTTTTCTATTAAAAGGACCATTGACCATGTAATGTAGAGGGTCTTGATAATTTGCCAGCGCTGTTAAAACTTGCAGTCGTTTAACGCTGGTCATTAGGAAAAATGAAATAAGACTGTCAAGTATATGCTGCTCAGACAATTGCACAGCTTCACCTGCTGAAAACATTCTGTGGTGAAGAGCATATGCTCCAGTCCCTTCCTGACCCACCCAGCACAGAAAGATCTAACTCTGTTACTTCCATAGACAGTGTGAGCTGTGTGACTAGATGCATGAGCACCACTCTGAAAACTATCCCTTGGAGATCTGTGTGAATGTTGTTGAAGGGAGAAACTGGAGGTTGGGGCAGTTGGGACTGAGCACCTGGGCAGGCATAACAGTTGGTTTAGTTTTCTGGCGAACAGGAGGCAGTTGAGAATCTTGGTACTGGGGAGGGGATGCATCTTTTATTTCCCTCCACCTTTTGAACAGGGCAGTTGTGATTGGGTGTAGGTGGGTGAATTCTTTGTTCCTCACCCCAGCAAAATCAGTGGTCAGATCATCCCTTTCTGTGGTAAAATCAAAAGCCGTGGTGGTGGTGGTGGTGGGTGAGATGGGGAGGGCGGTGGAAAAAGAACTCTCCACAAAGATCCCTTCACTGCCATTTCGTCTCAGTGTCGTGTGTGAGGGTCAGGGTTTGCCCCAAGAGAAAAGTCTACAGGGCCTGACACCAGACAGTATAAGGATAGGGGGCCAGACCCTGAGCTGCTATAAAAAAATGAAGATTTACACCAGTCGAGGATTCAGTTGCGGCAGCTAGTTGTTGTGAAGGATTTGGACTTTTTCACTTCTAACTGCATGTTCTAGAAAAAGACCCTTATGGCAACTTCCGTCTCTTCTAGAACCCGCAGAGCACATGCTGCAGGTCTGGGTTCCACGTGGGGAAGGGAGCAGAGTCCAGGCAACATCAGAGGGCACATCTCCCCTCCAACCCTATGCATTTCCCATGGAAGTTAATACAGACTGGGACCATGTTATCTTTTCCAAGGGGGTTGTGAAGGCACCCACTGCTAAGGGGAGTCTCTAATGTGATTGCATCAATGGATCTGGGCTGCCATTGAGCTGGGGGAGGGGGAGTGTGCCAGGTTGGTGTGAACAATCCTGGCCTCCCCTGAGGATCTGACCTATTGTCATTATAGCTGATGGTGAGATAAGGCTCTCTCTATATATACACACAAGTATTACATTAAAAATAAAACAACAACCAAAAAGCCCATGTTAACAACATTAAGGTTTCAAAATCAAACACTTGAAAGATAGGAAATGCCAGCTTTATGATGGTCTGTGCCACCTTAATTCGATCCCCTTGTGCATTTGTGTCATGACACAGTCTTTAATTACATGATCAAATACTATTTTTTTCAACAGAACCCCCAGCCTCATTCAGTGCATAGGATGGATGGTGCTCCCTGAATGGGCAGCTGTGTAGTATTTCTTTTCATCTTCATTGTTCAGTGTGTGCTCCCATGCCATATATCCTGCACACTTTTCAAACCCTGCTCTGAATACAGAAGTATTACATTCCTTAGAATCTGAGTGATTCACAAACATTAAAGAAATGAATATTTTCCCGACATGCTTGTGAAATAGGGAAGTATTATCCCATTTTAAAATCAGAAACTGAAGCAGAGAGATTAAGGCCAGAATTTTCAAGTGTCCATGGATTTTGGGTGCCCAACTTGAGACAACCGGAGCTTGATTTTTTTTCACGGAGTTTAGCATTCCGTAATATTTTATAACAAATTCTGTGCACAGCTTTCATTGACTTGAGCTGCAGTTGTCCGCATGTCTGCAAATCTGATCCCCAGTGTCTCAGATAGGGCACCTAGAAAACAAGGAACACAAAATTAGTGGCCCCTGTGAAAAGCTTAGTTTAAGTGGCTTGCCCAGTATCATAAGAAGTACGTGACAAAGGCAGGGATAGAATCCTGTTATCTATGGTGGCATTCAACTGTCTTAAGCACGACACCATCCTTACTCTTCCTGCAGTCCTCTATCTCATTCACTACAAACTTCCAGCTTCAGAAACAAATGGGGCATAGGACCTACAGACAACATCCTCATTCATTCCTGGAGCACACACTGTCCAGTGCAGGGAATGAGGCAGGCCTCTTGTGGAAAAAGCAGTATGTGGTGAGAATCATAGAATATCAGGGTTGGAAGGGACCTCGGGAGGTCATCTAGTCCAACCCCCTGCTCAAAGCAGGACTAATCCCCAGATAGATTTTTACCCCAGTTCCCTAAATGGCCCCCTCAAGGATTGAGCTCCCAACCCTGGGTTTATTAGGCTAATGCTCAAACCACTGAGCTATTCCTCCCCCCAGACTATCATAATGTGTATGCAGAAGGGGGGCAAATTAAGGTTGCACAGGCAACCATGATTCTGGCTCTTCCTAACTTCTGAGTGCTTGATGTGCAGCCTTAATGATGTTCTTTGAACATAGTTGATTTAAAAAAAAATATGTACATGTATGCATGTATGATTTTTTCCAAAGGGTTTTTCTGACTATATGTACCATACCGAAGTATTTTTAATGCCAAATATTTCAACAACAAAAATATTTATCAAGGGTTTTTTATGTGCTTGTTTTCAAAAGGCCTGAGTGGTAGAACTTGTTATATTGAGTTACACAGATGGAAACCTTCAAACTTCCACTTATTCTTATTTATGAATTAGCTATACAAAAGTGTGCAGTGGTTTGATTGAGATGTCTGGCTTAGACTTCCAAAAAATATGAATTTGTGGCTTTTGAAAGTGCCTCTTGACAGTCCTTGAAACTGATTGCCCCTTTCCACAAAGCAAGTACCA